ATCTATATCTAATAATCTAAAGCGAAAATAAAACACCAAGTAGATATTATAATACGTATTCCAGTTAAAGCATCTCATAAATCAAACAACTCTACATTACATGCAATTGTGGTCTGTTGTGAACCTACATATTGACTGATCTCTATCTCGAAGAAACTGGTAGTACAACGGTAGTTGAATAAGATGCATTTGTGTAAGATCTATACGGTAAATTGATTTACGGAAACTTAATATGTTTTTTCATATCCTTTGTTAAGAATTAATCGTTTGCATAGTTTCTGATTTTGTATTATGTAAGGTTTTATTTTATTATTATTTAGATAAACAAGTGCCACTCCCCATAAGTCCGAAATTATACTTATTATGTATTTTATACAAATATATAATAATGTTGCGTACATTATTATATATCTTATAATATTGAATGAGCAATTTTTATACATGTATAAATTTAATTCGTGTATCTCGGAAACGGATCTAACGATTTGAATCAAATTTTGTATTTGGATAAGGTTATGTTTATTAAGTAAATCTAGATATTTTTCTATCTGTCCTAAAAAAATGCAATTTTTATATCTTCCGAAAAAAACTAAAAAAAAACATCCGAGTATTATTTCATATACACGTAAAACGAAATAAATATATTTTTTTAAATCATACTGACAGAATATTAATAAAACATACATACACAATATACATATAGCTTTAAAAGGATAGTCAATTTTGCTTGCGATGAAACTTTAGTTTCTTATACATCTACAAAGGTTTCTGAGTTCTCAAATAGCACCACCCACGTGGGACACATGATACACGAGGTGTATCGGACAATTTCATATTTATTACTCCTAAGACTAAATAAAGTATATATAAGTATATATGTGTAACACCAAACTGCAGCCAGGTGAGCTCACTAATAACCTAATAAATTAAATAACTAATAAATATAGAAATTGATCAATAAATACGATATAGACGAATCATTAACAAAAACACCACCCAAACTAGTTCGAACATCTGATTATAGTATCGTCTATTGAGACGAATCACAACAATAAATCTGTCCGCCATAAATTAAAGATTAGACATTACAGCTTCAAGAAAATAATACCGCATTTCATATAATTTATAACATTTGATGGGTTTTAATTTAAATGAAATTAATGTTGTTCTGTTATTTTTCAATGAGATTTTCTTAATTTAAAACAATAAAATATGTATAAAATATTACCTAGTAATATGAAAAAAATATTATTATGCCGAATGTAGGTATATGATTATAATAACACTAAATAGTAAAAAATAAAGTCGCTATTCACGTCTGTTTATTTGTGCACTGCATTATTCTATTATATTTCTTATAAATTGTTCCAAGGCTTTTGAAACAATTTTCACTGTAATTTCGAGAATTTTTTTCAGAAGGTTTATATGTACCTATTACATATACATATTATAATATTAATCATATATACATACTGTATATATAGAAACTAGGAAAAGTCGATGTTTTGAAATCAAATGTTTACTGATTATTCTGAACAAAGTAAGTTCGGGTCGTTATATTTAGAATGCCATGTATACTCGAGTAAGGCAAGGATATAACAATTAGTATATAATTCCAAATTTGAAACAATATTAGCTACCTAATGTAAAAATTATAAGGCACTTTATAAATACTTTAGATAAATATTTTGAAAACCTCAGAATATCTTGTAATATTTCATCCACAGTTGAGAGCAACTGTTAGCTCTCAATAAGAAAAGTGTTTAAACATAAATTGCCATTAAATTCCATCTCATCTTGCCACTTTATACGGCTCAGCATCCATCTAGAGACCGATTTAAGAAGCATTTTAAAGTCGTCTTTTAGTAAATTGCCTTGTGCATTGAAGTTTATTTAAGACTGAGTTAACTAACAACGCGTGGTTAGAATAAAGAATTTATATTCTTTGAAGTAGTACAATCTCTTTAAACAATATTTACATTTAAGCCATTTTTCTTTTGTATAAAAGAAACTAATAACAATATTATTGTACTCGTTGATAAAATACCTAAACTTTGTTTGATTTCTGTCACAAACTAATTATGATTTATTTAGTACTAGCGATTCACCCTCGCTTAGCTCGGATTCGTCCCTAGCTTGTTTCCCCATACAAATTTTCAACCCCATTTTCACCCCCTTAAGGGATGATTTCCAGGATAAATAGTATTCTATGTCCTTTTCAGGGTCTCAAACAATCTTCTTACCAAATCTCATCTAAATCGGTTCAGTAGGTCTAAAGATTACGCCCTACAACGTCACAAACTCACAAATTTTATCTCTTTATAATATTAGTATAGATTAGCGGCTCTCCTTCGCTACGCTCGGGTTCGTCTCTAGAAAAACAGATCTATCTCACGGAAACCTTACATTTTTCCGGGATAAAAATCGGTCTATATGTTATTCCGATGTATGAGCTATATTATTGTACAGTTTCATTAAAATCCATTCAGTAGTTTTTGCGTGAAAGAACAATCTCCAAATCCATACGTTTATACATACAAACATCCATACATACAAACATTCCCATTTATAATATTAGTAGTATTTATTTATATTATATTTATAAATATTTATTAATTATATGTAGTTTACTTTTAAAGTGAACATAATATTATTACAAAATCCATACATTTATTAAAACAAAAGTTTTGTTTAAGGACCTTCTATTGCATCGACGTTGTTCTAGATTTAATAGATATTATATTGGTAAGTTAGCCAACATTATATTTGACTACATTGTTATTAAATAATAAGTATACCTTTAGGCGAAGTCTTGAGACAGTTTAATATAATTGCTAGTGTTGATAACAGGCCGGACCTATAAACGGTGCTCGCATATTATAACGAAGTGTGAACAAGCGCCGATTAACGTTTACATTATTTAAAGATTGACGCGTCTAGAAAAGATTTAAAACTAATATTTTTTATTGAAGTATGTTTAGGAGGGATGTCATGTATTATTATTATTCTGTTTTCCTCTCAGTAATAAAACATTTTATTTAAATTATTTAAAACTTAGACAAACACTAATAGAGGTCCATTAGTTCCCACGGGAACCCTTCATTATCCGGGATGAAAAGTAACCTATTGTTTGACCGGCAATATAAGGTATCAGCATGCCAAATTTTACTAATTTAGGTGCATAAGTTGATGTGTACTAAGCTGTATAAGTTACTATAGTTTATTAACTATCCCACAGGAACCCTTTAATTTTTCGGAATAAAAATAAAAAAATATGGATTTGTTCTATTTCTCTTCTTAAATCCCTCTGACTCGGTTTTTAGCATTTTTTTTTTGCATACATTTATTAAAACAAAAGTTTTGTTTAAGGACCTTCTATTGCATCGACGTTGTTCTAGATTTAATAGATATTATATTGGTAAGTTAGCCAACATTATATTTGACTACATTGTTATTAAATAATAAGTATACCTTTAGGCGAAGTCTTGAGACAGTTTAATATAATTGCTAGTGTTGATAACAGGCCGGACCTATAAACGGTGCTCGCATATTATAACGAAGTGTGAACAAGCGCCGATTAACGTTTACATTATTTAAAGATTGACGCGTCTAGAAAAGATTTAAAACTAATATTTTTTATTGAAGTATGTTTAGGAGGGATGTCATGTATTATTATTATTCTGTTTTCCTCTCAGTAATAAAACATTTTATTTAAATTATTTAAAACTTAGACAAACACTAATAGAGGTCCATTAGTTCCCACGGGAACCCTTCATTATCCGGGATGAAAAGTAACCTATTGTTTGACCGGCAATATAAGGTATCAGCATGCCAAATTTTACTAATTTAGGTGCATAAGTTGATGTGTACTAAGCTGTATAAGTTACTATAGTTTATTAACTATCCCACAGGAACCCTTTAATTTTTCGGAATAAAAATAAAAAAATATGGATTTGTTCTATTTCTCTTCTTAAATCCCTCTGACTCGGTTTTTAGCATTTTTTTTTTGCTATGTACAGACATTCGACCTCTACTGTTTTATTATAGTACCTATAGATTACATTTGTAACTTTTGTGTCCACACTTATAATTTCGTATTTTAAATAATAAAATAGGAAAAATCAAGGCTTTAAATAAATATTTAAAAAAAGGACAATTACGTGGAAAAAAATTAAATTGTTGCTAATACAATTCATGCTGGCACCACTCTACAATTTTACCCGACCGCTATTATAAGCCATTAAATCATCTAAAATATATACCGCGATCATCATTCTTGTAGGCTCATTTGATGTGCAAACAACACCTTGTTATTTTTCCTCATGATTTATAGCTATGGTGCATGATGTTGAGTGAAATTGAATTATGGAGAACTGGCGTAAAGTATACTAGGTATAGACGTCAAAAGATTAACATGGTTCGTGTCTCAGTTTTAGTTAGGTTTATACTAATACCTCGAAAATCACTCGATATAGAGTAATTAGTGCGATTAAATTCATGAAAATTTTCAGAATAAAATCATAAGTTACGGAAGTCACTTACTAGAAGATATAATAATTTATTGAATACGTTATAACACTAACAATTAATTTAAAAGGCAAATTGTTTAGTACACAGATACTGTGACTTAGAGCGAGATATAGGTAACTGCAAGACTTCTGAAGACGCATCCGAGTAAAGCGAATTCATATCAAAATACTAGCGACTCACCCTCGTTTCGCTCGGGTTATTCCATAGATACGTTTTAACGGATGTTTTAAAATTCAAATCTTTAAATTTCTCGGCTTTTCTGTGCTATAATATGCTTGTATTATACATATAAACCTTCCTATTGAATTACTTTACCTATTAAAAAAAACGCATCAAAATCCGTTGCCTAGTTTTAAAGATCTAAGCATACATAGGGACAGACAGACAGCGGCAAGCGACTTTGTTTTATACTATGTAGTGATATGTAGATATAACGAACTAAGCAATTCTTTAATCTCGTGTAAACTTACCCAGAGCGGGGCGGAAGGTTGTAGCTGCGACGCGAACGCCATTCGAAACGCATCTCCCACTAACGTGTTTAGTTCCTCCGCCTACAACAAAATACATGCAAGTTATAAAACAATACAATACAAAAATTAAAAAGAAGAAATATTAAATACATATAATTAATTAATAACGGAATCAATGTTCGATCTCGATACTCGAAATCGAGTACTAGTCTTATAATTTTATTTTCGGTTGCTTGAATCAATAATCAATATATAATATCCATAGCAGTAAAAACTACAGCATTTTAACGATATAATTTAAATTTTCTCTAGCTGAAATGAAACATCTCACTCATATTCTCTACCGCCACAAAGATAAGTTTATTTTTTACGAAGCTAGTGATCTCAATCAAATCTATACTAACCATTAAAACGTATCTCGAGTCGCTAGTATTCTATAAATTCTTTTATAAATAGAAGTTTCACTATCTCTGAATAATATATAATTTATCATGAGCAGAGTTGCGGAGAAAAACTAGTATATAATTTAAATAAAAAAGAGATAAACAAATATACTTGAATTGCTTCAAAATTATTGTTCAATTACGTATCTAATCTAAAGCAGGAAAACTGTCAGCGATTCAATTATAATAGATTTATAATCTCCTCTCGCTAGTTGAAAGTGGTAATTAGAAAAATAAACATGCGACGGCGCTTTCGTACGACAGGATAATTCTATGCGGAGACAGGAAGCCGACGACGGGTTAAATATTAGTTTCACAGATCTAACGGATACACTAAATTGTTTGTTAAATGCGGATATTCGATGGGAAAGGAGTCTAGGGCTCAGCGATTTAAATATGTTGAGACATTTACACTCAGCATCATCTAGTTCCATGGTAAGCTACGAGGTTTGTGCTATGGATACCAGAAATTTGATACACTACACATATATAACTTTAAATACATATATATTGTAAATATAATTACCCACGATTGGCGTACAAACATTCGTGCTCATCACACAAATGAATGCCCCCAGCAGGACTCGAACCCGCGACCGCTTGCACAGCAAGCAGAGTCACTAAAAACTGAGCCAAACGTGTTTTCAATAACGAATGTGGGTATGTCTTTTCCGCGGCAAGAGTAATGGATTAGAACGGTTTTTGATTAACTTCGAAATAGAACCCGTACTTAATTTGGGAGTCTTGTTTTTTGTTTTTTGTATATTTTACTCGATATTATATCTTTAAGTTCTATATTAATTTATCGAAACTTATTCGTATGGGTGGAATAAATTACTTTGATTAATTGATTTAATAGTCAATATAAGTTTTAAGAATTTTTTTTCCTTTATTTAGACAATTGGTACGAGACAGAGACTTCGGATGTGACTTTGTTATGTTACATAGGTTATTATCGTAAAATATTAGAGTATTGAAAAAGTTAGTTCACTTAAAAGACACGCGCTTACGTAAAGTACAAAATAAAATTTAAAAAATAAACTTATTCTGTTTTTAATGTGCATTAGGTATCAGGTCATAGTCCACCATGCTGTGCAAGTGCCGGGCGGACTTCACGTCTTTCGAAAACTTGCTAAGTTCTCTCAAACATGCAGATTTCCTCACGATGTTTTCATTCACCGTAGGGCAAATGGTAATCATATTGAGAATGATTGCACATGAAATTATCAGAGATGTGAGACCCGGGATTTGAACTCGCTTCAAATGATTTTCCAAGGCTGGGTCACTAATTTTACATAAATATATACATAAGTGCTTGCAACAAAAAAAATCTATTCTATTTTTAAATATATTACCCATATATTAAGTTAGAATTTGATTAAATAATTAAGTAAAGCAACAATTCTTGAACTAGCAAAGAATAATTTCATCAATCCTACTTACATACATATTATATAGCCTGCTTAATGAAACCCACGTCACTATGTTCTCATTAGCATTACACATCGGTGTGATACCGCGTGGGACGCCCGTTACGGTCTTAGACGGTTTATAATGACTTCATTTATTATCTTATGACATCTTACAATGTAAATAGTTTTTTTATGGCATTGCTCGCTATTTTTCTATATGTTAAATAGATATTGTCATTTTTATGGTGTTTTTTTATCTAAAATATCACGAGAATTTAACTACAAGTAGGTAACGTACGATTTTAGTCATCTATATGTACTTAGCTTAATGATCCTATTGTAAGATATCTCTAGCCGATATCTTAAGCTGATTGATATTTAAATAAATAAAAATTAAATACAAAATTCTTAAATTGAAATAAACGAATTGACATCCTTCAAGCTATGCTCAAGTAATGCGCATGCGCAGCCAGACGGATAAAAAACAAAAATTACTATAAAACTATACAAAATGATCTACACCTTGTCGGATTCTCTTAATAACTCTTGGCATAACGTTATGAGCTTTGAAACTAGTTTCTTCATAATGTATTCATAGCTTTTATATGAATATATGCCATAAAGCTCGGGGTCAGGGACGCAGCTGTGACCTAGAGGCAATAACCGGTTCTACTTCATTAAAAGGCATTAGAATCATATAAAGTTTTATTGCTTAATCATTGATAAGTTCTTAACTATGATTTAGTAAAGTAGCCACACTTGAATCGGCCCTTTTTGTACCATACGTGGCCTTCAGTGATTTTTTTTGTGATTCTGTCCTTTTAATGTCCCATTGTAGGGCGCTACTTTCTCTCAATGCCCTTTGCATGATTAGACCTTTTTTGTGACGTTTTTTGTTTATTATGCTTAAGGAACTAATAGATTTAAAAGTTCTTTCTGTCTTACCTACTTCTTAGTTAACTCCTAAAAACTCAACGCACGGCCTGTGGTTGTGCGTATTCTATAAGCTCCATTTTCATCACTATTATTAAAGTATAGTAATATCTTATGGAAACCAACGGGAGAACCCTAGTCATTATCTAATCTTTATATGTCTACATTTTTTCATGTTATGACAAGCCCAAAAGATCATTTAAAGACGGCAACCGCTTGGTTGTTGTAGACGGGGAAAAATATAACCATTTCAACAAACTAATAGCTACATGTATCCATATAAACACATTGAACATTTAAAATGTTAATAAGTATTATACGAACACACACTCTCACTCTCATAAATTTTTACATGTAAGTATTTATTTGTAATCATGCAAGGAAATAGCTTCTAGAATATTACACAAAACCACGACTTGTCATTTCGTGGAACGAAAAACCAAAAATTTATACCTATATATATAAAAATTGCAAAAACAAACTGTAGGTACATTTTATACAATTATAACACCTGATTTAAAAAAAAATAACACGAGACTTTACGTTCTCTACATGACTAATAGAATAAAAGGAAATCAAATCGCAAATTATATTCCGTTTTATATCGAACTTTGGAAGTTCACTAATTAATCTTTTAAAATTTATAAGTCATTGTATGAACAGTTACAGTATAACGGTACCGGAGTGGGCAAGAATTTATTTTCGTATTTTAAACTCAACTGGTTTAAGAATGCTCAGTCGATATAAACTTTCCAACCAAAATATTTGTATGTGGGAGAAATCTTGTAGGTTTTATTTCAGTCAAAACAAACGTTTCGCGCCGTTTCTTCGGAATGTGTGATGGAAGCTTTATGTCATTCCCAATAGCTTTAAGCTTCAAGTTAACGATTTTACAGCACGTCCATATTAGGAACATCTGTTAAAAATAAGAGAAATAAAATTAAAATCAAAGTACTTGAAAATTATTAATAATAAAGCGTTTTTTTAAATTTATTATTTAAATTAAGTTTCCCAAAGTAATTAAGATTAATATCTTACTATAAGAAACTATTTCTATGCAAAAAAGTGTGGTGTCCGACAGAAAGACAAACTAGCAAGCAAAAAATTGCATATATAATAAGTTTTCTATTGAATAAGCAGATATTTAAATCACAAAATTTAGTCTACAAACTGCCACTCAACGCGCAATTACTTATTCTACGCTTAGATACTTTATGTATGTCATAAAAAACACTGCACATACGTATAAGTTGGTGTTATTTTTTTCTTATATGAAACCAATATCACTTGAGTGAACTTTAAATACAAAAGGACAACATACAATTTTATAAAATATAACTTTAAAAATCATGCTTCCAATTTTATAAGTCACAATATATATATACAAGAATTGCATTACCTACTTTTCACTTTCATAGTAAATTCTAAATGGCTTCTTTAATTATATTACTTGATAACTCTTAACCCAAAATGTCCAGTGACTTATTACAGAATATGTGTATATAAAACTATATATTAGCATACAATCTAATCGATAGACACAAAGGCAGATAGAAAGATAGCTAGTATACGGGACTGATGCTAAAACACCTGGAAAGCTCTCAGCGAAATGAAATCGCACGATCTTAGCACCTCGTAAAAATAAAAAAAACTCATGACGAAGCTTTCACACTTATGACATCAAGGAACATCCACTTTTTATACTTTTAGAAGCTCATAAATTATTTTTAATCAAAGAAGTAGAGCTGGCAATTATTCCTTATTTAATGGTCTAATATTTTTTTTCATACTTAAGTTAAGTCTTCTACACTAAAATTATAAAATGAAAAAAAAAACGCTTTTTGTGTGTTTGTATCTTTGTTTGTAATGGACAAACTAAAAGTCCCCTGATACCATTTAGATGAAATTTGGTATGAAGATAGTTTGAGACCCTGGAAACGAAATAGGATGGTTTTAATTCTGGTAATCGTCCTTTAAGGGAGAGAAAAGAGGGATGAATTTTTGTAGGGGAAATCAACCATTTCTCAAGTGAGGGATATAAAACTAATCATACTTATGTACTTATATATAGTCTATCTATTCCATACTAACTGTTAAAACGTACCTAGAGATGGACCTGAGCGAAGTAAGGTTGAGTTGCTAGTCTTAGTCATGTTCAGTAAAAAGTATGCAGATATTAATTGTTTATTATTATTATGAAATATTCTGATCTTAATCTACAATTTTAAACGTCTACTTCCGTTATCAAATGAACAATAGGGGTTGTTTTAATTATAATTACAATTTTGTACTT